CCGAGGTGCCCGACGCGCTCGCTTCGCCAGAGGCATGTGCGGGGGCGGAGCAGCTCTCGTAGGCGGGCGCCTTCGGCGAGGAGCAGGTATGAATGGCACGGCGGGCGGAGCGGGCTACTTACCGCCGATAAGACATCACCCATCAACTGCTCTCTCACCGCCTTGAATTCCTGGGTGAATTCACAGACGGTGTCGCCGAACATGGGTTGGGATATGGGGAAAGTCAAGAAAGCGGACTTTGTCAACTTCGCGCATATCAGCCAGGGGTGGCGCTCCTGGATCACTAATGTGGACATCGTCCTCCCCAACGCACACGCAGCAGACTCAGTAGTCCGAAGAGCTAAGTCGGCGGCGGTGCAAAGCTCGTAATCCTGGGTTGGACCCACCCTCGTGCAGCTCGGCCAGCGCCTGCGCTAGGTAGCGCTGGTAGGTGGCTATCGCATGCAAGGCGGAAGCAGCCTGGCCCGCAGCTATGTAAGCTCTAGCTCCGAGAGAGGCAGATAACTTACAGGCTTTGGATGGGAGACGAGGCGGACCCCGCCAAGAAGAGGCGCCGCGCGGATTGACCGCCATCGCGCACTCAACCTGAGGAATCGCCACATACCCCCTGGCTGTTCCACCGTCAAGAGTGGTGAGGGTGGAGGGACACGCAGTACGAGCAGAAAAAAGTGCTTTTCAAGACCGCGTGAGCCTACTGTGCACCTCCGGGAAGAAGGGAACGCCCCTCTAGTCGGTCCGGCCGCGGAGCTGGGGGATAAACCATCTCCAACCCATGGCCGAAGCAGCCCGGGAAAGCACGGCTAACATGTCCGTTTCAGGATCCGTAGTGACAGCGCTCACCAGCCCGAAGGGGGCGAGCGGGTCTAGATCATCATCGGACAATGAAAGCCCACCCTCCGATGCCGTGGTGGACGTCTGGTCTCCAGTGTCATCGGGCGTAAGGGCTACCATCTGTTAGACGGATCGCTTCCCCCGCCCGAAGCTTGGATGGAGCGCTTAGAGGAGCGGGAGGTCCGCGGGCCCGTGGGCGACGGATTATCTCTCGCTGAAACCCTCAGATCTGCCCGAGTGCCCGCTGCAGAGCAGGGGACAACTGGTGTGGTTCACCATTTTGCAAAGGCTAGCCGCGATCTGTACTGCGCAACAGTCATGGCATCGCAATGACGACATGAACTGCCCGCGAGCAGCGCATTAACATGCTGGACCCCCCAGACATGTAACGCAGTGCCCGTGCCCATCATCCGAGGAAAGGAAACCACCGCATCCAGAAACGCACAGTCGGAGCGCCGTCCTGAAAAGGACGTGCTGCACGACTGTGTTGCTCTTTCTGTGAAGTTTGCAACTTTATACACACCGCTCTGGAGGACCGGACCCAAAGAACGCCAGGCAAGGGAGAAACCCAGCTCGACCGTCTGCCGCTGCGTGTACACACTCTGGACCGGGAGAATGCTCTCGTTCGCTCAGAATCGCTGGTCACAGCAGGAGGAACGCTCATCGACTCGATCAGAAAGTCTCTGAAGCGAAAAGAATGGCGTTTGCTCACTCCAGGTGTGCTTAAATGCTGGGATAATTGGCAATGAAGTACACCTGTGCAAGCTTACGCTGCCAATTCATTGCATTCATTGGCCCGTTCAATACTCTTTCAGACAAGCGGCTTCTGAACCGAATCCTACCATTCGTGGATTCAATCAATCCACTCTATGGCACTGAAGTTCCCCAACCGAAGGGGAACATCCACACTCACATTCACACACACATTCATACACTACGTACAATTTAGCCCACCCAATTTACCTGTACCGCATGTCTTTGGACTGTGGGGGAAGCCGGAGCACCAGGAGGAAGCCCATGCAAACGCAGGGAGAACATGCAAACTCCACACAGAAACACCAGCTGAGCCGAGGCTCGAACCAGTGACCCAGCGACCTTCTTGCTGTGAGGCGACAGCACTACCTGCTGCGCCACTGCTTCGCCCTGTGCAACACTATGCAATTGAAAATTGAAAAATGTTTCAAGTAGACCCTAAAACGTGACAGACATGGGTGTTTACTGTAGGTTATGTTTATTTAGGCTAATACATACCAAAGACACAGGAATTGGGATATTAAAATGAACAAACAAAAAACTCACCTTTCAAAGATCACCTATACAACTTCACTGAGCACTAGTCACAGCACAGATGTGTTTGTCACGTTTTTAGGTCCCCTTAAAAACATTTCTGTTGCAGAAAATGCAGTGCGTTTGATTAATTTGTTTGCGTTGTGAGAAAATGCAGCACGTTTCATTATTTTGTTTGCGTTAAGAGAAAATGCAGTGTGTTTGATTAATTTGTTTGCATTGTGGGAAAAAGCAGTGCGTTTCATTAATTTGTTTGCGTTGTGAGAAAATGTAGCATGTTTTATTTATTTGTTTGCATTGTGAGAAAATGCAGCGCGTTTCAATAATTTGTTTGTGTTGTGAGAAAATGTAGCGTGTTTTATTCATTTGTTTGCATTGTGAGGAAATGCAGTGTGTTTCATTGTTTGTGTAATTTGTTTGCGTTGTGAGAAAATGCAGCACGTTTCATTATTTTGTTTGCGTTAAGAGAAAATGCAGTGTGTTTGATTAATTTGTTTGCATTGTGAGAAAAAACAGTGCGTTTCATTAATTTGTTTGCGTTGTGAGAAAATGTAGCATGTTTTATTTATTTGTTTGCATTGTGAGGAAATGCAGTGTGTTTCATTGTTTGTGACGAGGTAATGCAGCACTTTTTATTAATTTAATTTCGCTGTAAGAAAATGCAGTGTGTTTCATTAATTTGTTTGCATATGAGAAAATGCAGCACGTTTTAATAATTGTTTGCGTTATGAAAAAATGCAGCGTGTTTTAATAATTTGTTTGTATTGTGAGAAAATGCAGTGTGTTTAATTAATTTGTTTGCGTTGTGAGAAAATGCAGTGCGTTTGATTAATTTGTTTGTGTTGTGAGAAAATGCAGTGTGTTTGATTAATTTGTTTGCGTTGTGAGAAAATGCAGTGCATTTAACTAATTTGTTTTTGTTGTGAGAAAATGCTGTGCGTTTCATTAGTTTGTTTGCGTTGTGAGTAAATGCAGCATGTTTTATTAATTTGTTTACATTGTGAGAAAATGCAGTGTGTTTCATTAGTTTGTTCGTGATTTGAGGTAATGCAGCACGTTTTATTAATTTAATTGCATTGTAAGAAAATGCAGTGTGTTTCATTAATCTGTTTGCAGATGAGAAAATGCAGCACATTTTATAAATTTTTTGTTATGAAAAAATGCACGTTTTAATAATTTATTTGCGTTGTGGGAAAATGCAGTGTGTTTTATTAATTTGTTTGTGTTGTGAGAAAATGCATTGTGTTTTATTAATTTGTTTGTGTATGAAAAAATGCAGCGTTTTATCAATTTATTTGTGTTGTGAGAAAATGCAGTGTGTTTTATCAATTTGTTTGCATTATGAAAAAATGCAGCATGTTCCATTAATTTGTTTGCGTTGTGAGAAAATGCAGTGTGTTTTAATAATTTGTTCGTTGTTGCACGCGTACTGAAGAGCGGTGTTGTCGCGCGCGTTCTGATCAGCTGTGTCAGCCCTATGTGTGCACGTGCCTGTGCAGAGTGTTTTACTAATTTGTTTGCGCTATGAGAAAATGCTGTGCCTTTCATTAATTTGTTTGCGTTGTGAGTGAATGCAGTGTGTTTTATTAATTTGTCTGCGTTGTGAGTAAACGCAGTGTGTTTTATTACTTTGTTTGCATTGTGAGAAAAGGCAGTCTGTGTCTTTAATTTATTTGCGTTGTGAGAAAATGCAGCGTGTTTTATTAATTTTTTTGCATTGTAGGAAAATGCAGCATGTTTCATTAACTGTTTGCGTTATGAGAAAATGCTGCGTGTTGTGATAATTTGTTTGCATTTCATAGGGTTTCTTTTACATCATCAGTGTTATAATGTAATTAAAATACACTTATTTTAACAGACTTAAGTATTTATTTAGTTGCTCAAAAATAAAACGAGATGAAAGATATCAGGAGTGCAGTCCTGGGAAAATATTAGTATCATAAATTTCTACATTACTTCTCAGCAAGGCAGTTAAGATCATTGAATTTAATTTTTTTTTTTTTTTTTGCGATTTTGTAATGGCAAGACACCAGAAGTTTACCAGAAGCACCTGAGCTGGCTTACTGAAAGTTAAAAGTCCTTGTGCATATTGCTTTGTGAGGCATTGGTTTGCTGGTGTCCTGAAATTTTATCATCCGCTACTGTCATTACGCTACTGTATTTGAATGGTTCTGAGGTTGGGGTTAGGGATAGGTTAGGGTGATACAGCTTCATATCACACTGCTCCACATTAAAATTTACACTGGTGGCAAAATGTGTAGACACACATAGACCTAGAAGGTTTTTTTTTTCTTAAACTTGTGTAGCTCAAAAGGTTTGCTTTTTTGATTGATCCATTACACATTTTGCTTGTTTGTTGTCATTTATGAAAATCAAAAGCAAAAAGCAGAATTAGCAAAAGCATAAAAGCATAGCAAAAGCATAGCAGAATTTTTAGTAATTTAACAAAAATCTTATAAATAATTATAATTATATTAGTTACGTCTGGTTTTAGTTTTAGGTCGTATTTTTATATAGCTAGTCTAATAGAACATAATTTCTCAGTACATTTTTTTTACTGACGACTTCCCGACAATTCCACAAGACATCTTATCTGTCCTTGCTATGTCTTTATCAAAGTGCGTTTAGGTAAACCTAAATAAGCTACTTTTACCACACGTTTTGTATATGATTACTTTTTAGTTAGGAGCTTATTAAAAACAATTCATAATAACTTTAAACCCATGCAACAAACTGCAAACAGCCTCATAAAGGTATGTGTCAACAAAGATTTGTGTTGTTGCGCTCTCCCATGCGTTAGCCCCATATGTTCCACTCTCCCTCGTGCACGCAATAGTCTAGATGTAATTTAAATGACACGCGTGTTTTATTGCACTGACTCCATATCATTAATCTTCACACACACTCGTGTAATCAGCGGATCAAGCTCAGTGTGTGAAAGCGTTCAGCACTAAGGTGACAGGCAGAGGGAGGGGTTTAAACTTGCCGAGGGTTGGGGATCTGAATGACTGTCATCTCTCTTCCTCGGTAGTGTGTTTGTGTGCGTGTGTGTAGACGCGTGCATTGATTTCTCCTGCTCCACGACAGATCTTTGCGCTCGGAGGAGTCGTTCAGGAGCACCAGCTCTTACTTCTACCGGAACGGACCGGACACCCGTGGGCATGGCAGACTCCCACTGAAGCCATCACGGAGAGATACGCGTTCATACCGACTATGGCTGTAGACGGTAAGCGCACGGTGCTTGTTTTTACTACGCATAACAAAACAATTGAATTCATGTTACTGAAGCCACATGCGAACGGAGATTACGTTTATTTACACTGTGAGGTGACTTTTCTGTATTATATTATTCTGAAAACTGTTTTAATTTACTAATACAAACTACAGTGCATTTATATCATTTACACAGTGTTTGCAATAGGCTACTATATCTAATACCCCTGTGCGTCAAAGTCTATGAATACTATTGAATAGCAAAATATAGAATGATAGTTAACATATTTATTTGCATCAATTTAACATTTTTATACGTATTTATGTACTGCTGTTTTTCAGCTGGTTTTTTTTTTTTACTTGGCCGTCAGTAATTAAATTGCGCCTTGAAGCCTTTTCTGTTTGAGCTATATGTTTTAAGTGTATCTATTTATTAGACATTAGTGTGGTATTTGCTAATATCCAAACTGCACTTTCATTATTATTATTTGCTTTGCTACTGTAAATGCCATATTCAAGTATACTGGTCATAAAGTGAATGGTGCAGACTTACACGTTGTGTGTTTATTTACATGGTGGCATGTGTTACCGTTTACAGACAACATTTATTACTTTACTGCACTTCTACTGGTCTGAAATCCACAATTTTTGTATACTAATTCACACTATACTGCAACTTTATATATTTTACACAGTACTGTATTAATGTACCAAGTAATTTCTTGTACTAAATTGAAGCACTAATATGCTTATGGCCTTTAAAATCATATATTTACATACTTGTTTACATCCATTTAATATAATTTATGAGGATATTATTTATGTATGCAATGATAGATTCGACCACTTAATGAGTTTTATTTACAGGGTAACATATAATGTGATAAGGAGACAATATTGTTATTTAGACTAAGATTTTGTGACCTGGAACTTACTATAGTATAAATTAAACTTAAACTGTTACCACAATATTTATGCAGTACTGCTACTTTACATATAACTTGGTACAAATACAACTATAATACATTACACAATACAATACATTTATATAATTAATCATTGAATAATATTTTCTTTAACTTTAACTTAGTTTCTGTAAACCATTTGATTTTTTTAGCAAATTTTATTTATTTATTTAATTAAATTTTATTTATACAGACACCTTCCATCTTCATTAACTATACAGAACACCTGCAGATCAGCTACTGGCATTTAAAACAGCCAATGAAGGTGTCATCAGTGTAAGACTTATTTTAATATTATTTGTCTTATTTTCTTGCCATCTCATCAGCAATCCATCAATTATTTGTAAAGTATACTCTTCCTCCCAATATTTTTTCAGTTCTTCTTTAACTGGAAGAGTCTCAGTTTACCCTCTAAAAAACACCGAGACATCATATTTAGGTGTGTTTTAGAACTTAAATTTTATTCCATGTCATTTCTTAAGCAAAGATACTGAATTGTACACTACAGCCATTATATATTTCTGGTCTTGGCCGTGCTCATACTGTTTTCAATGATTGTTGGCTTGCCTCTGAATCTACCCTCACCATTTGTCTGTTACTTTCTTTAAGTATAATTTCCATCCATAATCCAAGCATTGACCACCTTTTTAAAAATAAATACATTTTCTGTTCTGATCATATGCTTAGACAAATAACTTAGAAAGCACCAATCTGAGGCCTTATTCTTATGATGTCATCATGTACTGCGACTTGCAAATTATTTTATAGTATTTTGAAACTACAAAAATACGAGACATTAAAGTATTTTGATATGAAATATTCAGCCATTGTCATCAAACCTATCAAAACAAATTGCAAAATAGTATTTTGTATTTAAAATACGTATTTGAAATGCATGTATTACATGTATTACATGTATACATGTACATATTGTCTATCCCTGAGCGTTCTGCTCTTTAGACCAATTTTGCTCTTGTATTAACATTTGAATTTCATCTTGTGATGCCATCTTTTTTATTTTTTTCAATAATAGTTTTTTTTTGCTGAATGCATTGTGTAAATTTTGTTTATGAAGTTTGCAGTGCAGTCTGACGCACACACTTTTGGTGGGTTTTTCAGCTGGGTTTGTGTCAATATTATGTTGACATTGTGCTCGACCCGCTGAAGGGAATGTCAGCTAGAGTTCACGGGCTCACAGCTGGACATAGACATAAAGTCTAGCTGACATCCTATATGATGAATAAACACACTCAAACACTTGTTTACAGTAATCTCAAAGGCGTTTATTGTATGCAATCTTAAGAATTATGTGCCTTTCTTAGGCTCCAGGCGATTCTAGGTAATCATAGTATATCTGCAGCGCTCAGTGTGGTGCTGAAATGGACAGCAAGACCTTGCCTCACTTTAACCTTACACATCACATCCTTTTGCCTATTCTTTTTCCAGCCACATATGTGATTCGGTAACTCAAAGTGACAGTTCACCTAAAATGAAAATGTATGGATAATGTACTTTCAGAGCATTACGCATGTACTGTAGGTGATTTTTTGCTTTAGTTTAACATTACTGCCAATTTTAACATGAAAGCATGGTTAAAAAAAAGCTTTTGTGATTTATAAAATTTAACAATTGAGCGCAGTGGTGGCGTAGTGGGTAGCATCATGCCCGGCGCTACGGGGGGGCAAAGGGTTACATTGCCCCCTCAGAAAGAATCCCCCCCCTAGTTTTCATAAAGAATTGGTCGCTCAAAACTGAAAATTCTTTCTGTCATTAATTACTTACACTACCGTCATTCCTACCTTTAGAGCACACATTTAGATATTTTATAATTTGAAATAGCAATTAAATTATGAATATTGTAAGATTAAATGGAGGCAATGGAGGCACACTCAATTCACACGAGAGAAAACTGGACAAGTGGATGACATGAGACGAGCATTCATTCATTCATTCATTCATTCATTCATTCGTTCGTTCATTCGTTCATTCATTCATTCATTCATTCATTCATTCCTTTTTTTGCCACTTTTCCGGGGCCGGGTCGCGGGGGCAGCAGTCTTAATAGAGAACCCCAGACTTCCCTATTCCCAGACACTTCCTCCAGTTCCTTCGAGGGGATCCTGAGGAGTTCCCAGGCCAGCCAAGAGACATAGTCCCTCCAGCGTGTCCTGGGTCTTCCTCGAGGCCTCCTCCCGGTAGGACATGCCTAGAACACCTCCCTAGGTAGGCGTCCAGGAAGCATCCGAAACAAATGCCCGAGCCACCTCAGCTGCTTTCTCTCGATGTGGAGTAGCAGTGATTCTACTCCGAGCTCCTCCCGGGTGTCAGAGCTCCTCATCCTTTCCATAAGAGTGCGCCCTGCCACCCTTAGAAGTAAACTCATTACTGCTGCCGCTGCACCTATCCGCCTGTCAATCTCATGTTCTATCCTTCCCTCCCTCGTGAACAAAACCTCAAGATACTTAAACTCCTCCACCTGGGGTAAGGACTTTCCTCCAACCTGGAGATGACTAACCACCTTTTTCTGGTGGAGTACCATGGCGAGCAGCTTAATTCATTACATGTTTTGGGTAACTAATTCTTTAAATACAACTCTTGAGCTCTAAAAGGAAAAAAAAAACGCAGAAGAAATTTGCCGTTAAATTAATTTGAGCAAAAACGCAACTGCCAGTAATCTTCGCATTAGTTTTTCAGTTTTGAAGCCTAATAAAAATGTTTAGTTCTCTGCAAAGTCCCACAGTAGGCTATACTATAATTATTATTTTAATTTATTATATTCATTATTATTAATATTAGTAAAATTGACAAAACACAGAACAGATTGTTTGCTTTTATTTTGGCATGGTAAAGCACACTTTTACAGTTTTGTAAAGAAACATCCCATTATGCAGCAGCAGTCAAGTCACTTAAAAATGCCTTTTGCAAGAAAATGAAATGAAAATAACCTGAAAACAAGTTTTTAAAATAGGTTTAATAAATAGATAAAATGACAGGTAGGCCTAGTAACCTAATGGTTTATGATGGCGTTTATTACAATTGCCAACCGGACAATATCACGGAAAAAACCTCAGTTATGATAGCCTAAGATAAATCTTTATTTTTTAAAACTTTAAAATGATGAGAACGTTATATAGCCTGTTGAGTTGCATGTTATCCCAACAATTTACCAATTTTCACTGTAATAACTGTGATTTTAGTTATCCTTTTTTAGGTATTTTTCTGGCTACACTGTTGTCTTAAAATGTAACTAAATAATTTTTTTAAATGACATTATATTGTAACATTTAGCTTTTTCCTAACAATGATGTTAGTTGCGTTATGAAGCGTGATGACTCGGTTATGCTGATTTCACTATATTTATTTACCGGTTATGCGAATAGTCTGACCGTGGGTTAGCTTGCATGTGTGGGCATAGTTTCACATTTTTACCTAAAATGTTAAACATTTATAGGCCTATTATTTGAAATAAAATGGAAAGAAATAAAAAGAATAAAATATGATTTAAAGCACTCATTTGGTGCTGAAGCCATGATCTGTCTGTGTTAATAAACGGTATTGTTGCATTACCTTCAATAATAAAAAAATCAGTAATAGCGAAACTGTGCATATTATTATTACTATAAAAAGTATATTACTGCTTTAAGTCAGTAACTCAGGCAGTAATGCAAAGTAATATTAAATGTAAATAAATAGCCTAAATGAAAGGAACAAGAGGGACCAATATCAGTCACCAGGTCTAGTGCCCCCCTATGGGATTAAAATGCCCCCTCAGTTATAACATCCTGGCGCCAGGCCTGGGTAGCGCTGCCGCCTCACAGCAAGAAGATCCTGGCTGGGTCGATTAGCATTTCTGTGTGGAGTTTGCATGTTCTATCCCATAATTGCTTGGGTTTTCTCGAGAGGGGTCTGGCTGCAGACCTGGTGCAGTGCAATCTGGGCTTCATTCAATGCTTTTTAATAGGCTCACCTAAACCCACCCCTAACCCTATCCGTCACAGTGCTGTCACTAGCTCCACTTGAGTGCATTGTGTCTGACATTGCATCGCTG